GGCTGCGATAGGACTCATTTAATTCAAGAAAATTAAACTCAACTACGGCAACAGTTTTATTGTGTCAGATCGAAAGTCTGTAGCTCTCAACCCTGACCATGGAAATAGGGAATAATGTGAGAACAGGACAGCTGTTGCAGTTCACTGTTAGCCATGGGAAATCTATGCTAAAAGTATTACTGAAAGTGAAGACTACATGAATTGTGTTAATATCTATTATGTTTTCCATAAAAAATGTTTAATTCCTAAATTAATATGAATGCATAGAAGTCAATGACTTTGACTACAATGCTCTTACTTTTGTTGAATATTTTACCTATATTTCAAGCCCAGTGAAGGAGGTGTCCTACTTTTATGCCCACAGAAATATGTTTCTCTGGCCTTGTTCCATATTTAACATTCAGACTTGTTCTTTTGTATATTTTTCACTTTGCAGAAACTTCTGATTTTTTTGAAGGGCTGCCCAACTATCCACTGAGTGAAAAATCACCCCCATTTGTTTTGAACCTGGTCCCAAACAGTTCAATACAGTTCCCCACTTCTAGTGGAAAAGTGGATAAATGATTCTACCCTCTCCCTATCATATGTGATGGAAAGTCTGGTCGTATCCATTTTTCTCGACTGTTTTTGACTTTTGCTGCATTTCACAATATTCTTGTGCTACATTTAAGGAAAATATTTCTAGTAAGAGGATCATAATTATGTCTGCTTTTGATATGCCCATTAACTGACATAATTTCATTCCGATTTTCCATTCAGAACTTAATTGCCTACCAATATTCTGTAATAATTCACATGATTTTTTGTGAGTAGGATTTTTTTAAGAGAAATTACATTGCATACCAAGGAAATGCAATTTTAAAAGCAATTTTAGCATAAAATAAGAAATCTCCCCTAGATCCTGATTACCACCAAAAATCTTACTTGGTAATTTAAAATTTGTTGTAGTTTGTGTTTTCCAACCATATTTCACACTAATATTGGAGTTCAGCAGGAATTGAGGCTCTACGCGATGTTCAGCAAAACACCTTGGAGGAAAAGCAGATAAGGAATTATTTACACATTGGGAAGATAGCACAGGCTGTTCTTCCAGAGATGCCCCAGCAGTGCTGTATTCGCTTGGTGATTCTCAGTGTTTTCCACCTAAAGTTACTTTTTGCTGGTTTCCTTTCCCAGCTCACTTTGTCCTATATCCCTGCTTTCTCTCCCCTCATTAAAATTGGAAGGGATACCCCTATTTATTGAGTTCATACCATGGGTTGAAGATCGTGTGTCTGCTCGTGGATAGCAGGCGCAGGTTGGAGTGGCGCTTGCGGGGAGCAGCTGAGGGCAAGCGGCTTTCCCGGGAGCCAGCGCTGCCGTCGGAGCTGCCGGCTGCAGAGCCCAGCTGCTCCTTGTGCCAGCTCACTGGGGCTCTTGCCTTGCCTCCTTCCTCAAGGTGGTCCTTGCTCTGCAAAGCTCAAGCTGATCAAGGAAGCGCATTTCTTCTGGCCATGTCCCATGGGCTAGTTTTACTAGGAAAGTATGGGTGCTTCCCAGGGCATTCTTTATTTAAAAAAATATTTGCTAGTCCTTTATGGTATTTAGAAGTGTTTATATAATGTACAGACACACATATATGGTCACTGCCCGTGCAGTCACCTACTGCTATTGCACATTAGATTGAGGAGAGAGCGTGGAGCAAGCGCTGCTGCTTTGCCTGCTGTTGCTGGCCCTATCTGAGCAGCAGAGGAGCTAAGGGCTGCTCACTGCCCTTGTGGTCCGGGGACTTGCAGTGATGGTGGCTTTAGGGTCCCCTCTCGGTGAAGGTTGTTTTTAAGCTGTGTATGCATGTGCATTCATGAGCCCAAGCAGATTTATCGAATCTACTGTTCTAAGAGCCTTGCTCCTTTCTTAGCCAAATTATTTATGCTGCTAATATGAAGTATGTCTTACATATGAATGTTTCCCATCAGCTTAAAAATTTCCTGATTCTCAGTTTGTTACTCCTGGTCTAGGTAACTTGCCTAGTTTCTGTCTTTAGAGGTGTCTATGATAAGTAATCAAATCACACTGAACCCAGACAATTTATTGATGATATGAGATGTTGTGTGTGTTTGTTTGTTTGTTGTTTTTTCCCTTTCCCTAATTGCATTTTTGACTGAATTGTGACTCTGCATCCTGGGCTGGCTGAAATGAGACTCCTGTTGCAAGAAGCAAACAGCTTTCCCTCTCTGAAAGGGATCAAGAAGTTAGGCAAGGAAAGGCCTCCAAGGCCCCCCTCTCCTGGCACTCCTTCCACACCATTAGCGGATGGAAAGCTGCAGCCCACGTGGGGCAGCAGGATACGTTGTCGAGGGAAAGATTTGGGCTAGTTAAGGTTTATGAATAAAGCATGTGTGGGTGGATTTGTTTTTAATGTGTTCCAAAACTTGGAAAGGTGGATATTTTTTATTCCAGCAGCAAAGCAAGAGAAATTGGCATGTTGAACACATATTGCACTTACCAGTTGAAGTGGCATTTTAGATGCATTCAGTACTATTATGTTGTTAAATGGATAGACCATCTGGTAAGTAGAGTTATTTATTTTGGAGTAATCATTCAAGTATATAGGTTAACAGCATCCCTAAACAGCATCCTTCCCTTTGGAAGGCTGAAATATCAGTGGAAATAATTGTCAAATGTTATAAATAAATTTGGTTCCAGTTTTAGGACTAGAGCAATGTCACATGTTTGCTAGTGGATTAGGTTGGTGTTGAGTCAAGAAATAGTCATCTACTCATATAATCAATGTATAGTAATATGCTGTTAGTAAATCTGAAATTTTCATTCACAGAATAGTGAGGTGGCTGCTGACTTTTGTGTACTGATTTACCTTACTGTTAACTTATTCATGAGTGTCACTGAGGCAATAGCCATTACACATTTCTTGTCAGCCTTTATTGTTGGCTGCTTTAAATACCCTGGTTGATGTTTTTAAGCAAACTATCTACTTGATCTTGGAGTTCATCTCCGCCTTCTTTGGGGAGATATTAAAGCATGCCTTTTTTTAGCAGTGATTATAGAGGGACTATTCTAATATTTAATAGTTTTAGAGTAGCGTTGTCTTACCCACATGGCCAAAGCCTCAGGACCACTTATTTACCTCTTACTATGAATTATACTGAACCTTTCTTTTTATTCATGAGGAGTCGTACACAGCAGATCTAATCTGCTTTGGCTGCTCCAGCAATACTCGTGTCCCGTTTCCCATTTTACTACTCATTTCACAGCTTGCTACCTGGCCAGCGCTAGGCATGTTCTGTTTAAAACAAACAAACGAAAACATAGGGAGTATAAAACAAGGAAGGGAGACCCAAAACGTAGTGAGGTTTGTTTTGTTTCTGTTTTTTAAACAGCAACAATAAAAACTTTGATTACAGCCAAGCAATAATTCATAAATGTATGTAATGAATTGTAGTCTCCTTTTTTCAAGCGCTTTGCACATTTCCCAAATACACTTATTCAAAAGCTGTCAGCAGTAAGCAAGAGCTGAGCCACAAATGCTCCCCAGACACCGCACATGGACTTGTCTTTTGTCCCTAGGTGGGTGAGCAGGTGTGGGCACTTGTGACAAGAGCCCTCCTCCCTGTAAGTCGCCTTCCTGGCCTCTCAGTGGACCAGACCAGGGTGCTTTGCTGCTCCATGCTGCAGCTTTTAAACTGAAGTTAGTGGTGAGGTTGATGTGATGGTGATTAGTGATGGAGCCGGATGCAGCGGACCGTGGGCAGCAGCCACCCGGCAGCGCTGACAGGCGCAGGCACCGCCGCTTTCCCGGGGGATCCTTGCGGGCACAGGCTGCTCACAGCCCGGCAGGCAGCTCTGCTCGGGTGGTGCTGCAAAACATGATAATATCCGCAAGGTCGGATCACAACTTCGTTCTAAGTTGGGTGGTTTGTATTTAAGTGGCACCATTTGTGAACTCTAGCCTTTATTTCTCCTGTGATAAGTGTGCACAGAATACTGGAGTTGTAATTAGGACAAATGTGCTATGAAATTCATAAGGAGGCAATAAATATAAACTCAATACTGTAATATGCATATGTATTAAGTTTCTTATTTTCTAACTGTGAGTGCAGTCCAGCTCTGAACCGCCTTGCCCACTAAGCTTGCTACAGTGCAGCTACTGGTCGCTGCAGGGCTAGGAGCGGGTCCTCGAAGTGGGGACCTCGAAACGCCTGTCCCTGACCCAACAAGTAACTGAAGCTTTCGCAGGCTGGGGATTCTAAAAAATTTACTTTTGTGTAGTATCTTTTCAAAAGCTTGAAGATACAACTTTTTTCCTTGTCTACTGATTTTATGGTTTTCCACTTGGCAAATTCTGTCTCCTTATTTTTTTTAATGGAAATGGAAGTTGCACAATGTTTTTTCCCTGCTGGTGAGCAATAAGCTGGGTTTGCTCTGTGTCTTTGTATCTTTTTTAGTGAAGCATCAGGAAACAATATTATAAGGCTTTTCTGTACAGGGATTATTATTTAGGTGTTCTTTTCTTAACTGTTTTGGAAAGAGAGTATGTAGGTGTGAGACCTTTGGTTTGCAAATTGTCATCTTAACTTTGTGATAAAGAATTAGCAATGCAAACTTTACTTTGTGACTAAATATTGACAAACGACTGGGTAAAACTGCATAAAAATGCTTTAATGAAATGACCCTCACAATATTTCAGATAAGTGTTGATTTAATGCAGTAAGAACCGGATAACTCTTGAAAATAAGAGAATATAATAAGGACCCTGGCTGGAACAGTATTGTTCTTATTTTACAGAGCAATAATTCCATACAGCCCTCCGTAAGGTGAGTTGCTATACAACACACAGGAGTCAAAACCAAGCTAAAATAGATTTTTCATGTTAGCAGATCCATGAGAAACAGAAATTCACAAGGAAAAAAATGTGAAGATATGTTTTAAAACATAGGCAGTCTTTTCCATCATCTGATTTTTCTCCTTTGCAAGCCCAGGTTGCTGCGGGAGGAGGCGCCGGGCACGGGGTCCTGTGGCTGCCTCTGCGCTGGACTCCTCACGGATTGGAGGTCAGTGAGGAAACTCCGGCCTTGTCCTCTCTTGCTCTTAATTAAATTGCTATATTTTAGTCTAGATGATAAGTGTCACGTACTCAGAGATGTGACTGAAGGAAAATATTATTATTGCAAACTACTCCAGAATAATTCAGCAAAAAAAGGAGAATGAAGCATTTCTGCTCTGGGATGAGTAAACTGGTGTGAAAGAGCTTCCATTCGTGTTTTATTCATGCTAAACCAACCAAGTGTCTGATGTCTTTAGCAGTGTAGAGCTGTAGCAGATTTGGACTCTGCTAGTCTGCCTGTCTCTTAATGATAGCTGTGGTGAACTGGGGCTCTGTGCTGTAGCTGCAGACAACGTTTACATTCTGTTTTCACTGTCAGTCTGTGAATATCTTTCCTGAGGTCTGTAGTGAGACTTAATGAACACACAGAAATGCTGCACCGACATGTTTGCTCTGCCTTTGTTCCTCCTGAGCTCCTCAGGGCTCGTGTTGTGGGATGCAGTTACATCTGCTGAGAGCCCTGCCAAGGCGTTTGGCCAATGCGGCCAACGGTGACTCCATTGGAGACCTCCAGCAACCAGGAAGCGAGGCCAGGCCATGAAGGTCATTTGGGGTGGAAGAGTAGCCGTGTGGGAGCCGAGGGGCTCGGGGGCGATGTGGGTGGCTGTGTCCGCTCCAGCTGTGGCCTGCGGGTGGGAGGAAATGGAGCCCAAGTAGTGGGAAGAAAACTAGTGCCGGCTGCCTGGTCGCACCATTGCTCTGCAGCAGGGCTGCAGGAGGCTTCTCCCTGCCAATCCGTTTTTTATTTTGTCTGGGGGAAGCTGACACGCACCTCCCAAAGTGTGAAGAGAAGTATGCACTGTAGATAACATGGGAGTGAGCCTGTGGTACTCGCAAAATTAATGTTCCTGTCATGTTGCATTGCCTGAACTGTAAACAAGAGCGTGATGGATGGTAAATTATGCTCCTTTCCTCCCTCGCCCGTAAGGAGGGCAGCGAAAGGCCGGCCCGCGGCCTCCTCGCGCTGTGGGCAGAGGCCGGGCGGCTCGGGGCGGCCGCAGCGCCCGCGGCTCCAGGCCCTGCCGCCCAGGGCGGGCCCTGCGGCCGCTGCTCCTCCCTGCCTGCCTGCACTTCAGCCGCTTCGCCTCCCTCCTGGACACCGCACGCGTAAGCCTGCAAGCTTGCGTGGCATCGCCAAAGGGACCGTCCTGCCTTTGCCTCAGGAACTGTATAGGCTGCAGCTGTTTATGCCAGCAAAACAGCTGAAGGGGGGAGAGAGACGTTTCTGTTTTCCACATTACTCATTTTTATCACTGTAACTTTCCCTTTCAAGGGAGGTTGGCGCTGTCGCCAGCCTTGCTTCAGAAATCTCTGTGCTTTCAGTACCCAAGGATGAATAAGCTTCCAGTTAGGATTTCTCCTGTATCAAAAAAGAAAGGGGAGGTAGGGGAGAAAGAAAGTGCAAAAAAGAAAGCAGTTGCACTGTATTTCCACAGGGAGAGCGTAAAATCTTTCTTTTTGTAGGGAAAGTTCCAGTCTAGGAACTGTCACTGCAAAGAGGCAGTTTCTTTCATTTAATACCACGTGTAAAGTCGTAATAAAGACAAAATATCGGCACCTCTGCTTGTTGCTTAGACTGCTAGCTCAATTTTGTTATTGTATATAATGGCAATAAAACAGGATCCAAAAGCCCTGGGATTTTTGCTCCACTATCATAAGCCAGGTAGCAATTTTGTGATTTATTTTTTTTTTCTCCTGCCCATTTTTTCCCCAGTAAATATCTGTTCATAGAGACGAATACGTGGCAGTACTGCAGCTTGGGAGCACTATCCATTGCCTAGCTGAGTTACCGGAGAAGTGGCTTTGCTGCTCTTGGACAAAGAAAGTGAAAGGGCTGTTTTGTTGTGGTGCAAAAGGAAAGCAAATGTCAAGACTTTGAATGCCAAGTGGAGGTTATGTTTTGCAGCAGATTTTAATAAGGACAGCTGCAGCACAGCACAAACCTCCCAACTTGTCTGAGACTCTCACCCATCACTGCGTTTTATTAAAATGTCAGAATGAGTAGGTGGAAAGGCTGCTCTTCTGTGGGATGTGGCAAACTTGTGCTGCAAGGAGAAATGTGCTGTGATGAGAAGTACGAACGCAAGGTCAGTGATGGTGAACAGGGTCTGTGCAAGGTGCTTTGTGCCTTTTGCAGAAGGCAGGTAAAACTGGGCTTCTGCAAGCGGGTGCCTCATCCTGCTTTCTCCTCCTCTGAAACAAGCCTCATTGCATTTGGCTGCTTGCTCTGTAAAGCTTATTTATGGAAAAATGTGTCTATGGTTGTAAAGCATCAACATTATCCACTTCTCTTACTTTTAAATACTGCCAAGCAGAGGCACCCTTCTGCCGTGCCCTGTCACATTCAGTTCCCCTGGCCCTGCGCAGGCAGCGAAGCGGGATGGCAAATTCACATTTCTGCTAGCGAAAGAGCACCCCTGAGTCATCCCTGCTTCCAGAGCTGCCTGATCCTGTTATCCTGGGCCCTGGCGTGGGAGAGGGGCTGACTTCTTGCAAGGCTTGCAGGCTCTGTGCTCCTCAGCTCCAGACACAGTGTCTGCGCAGCGGGCCCAGCGACAAGGGCTGGGTTTTCTGGGCTTTTTGGTCGATTTTCTTTTGTATTTTAGTCCAAATCCTTAATTCATCAGCTGGTAATTGTTTGTTACAAGTAATAGTATTTCCCACTTTCTTATGTTTAGGCAGCTTTTGCTTTACCTTTTATTCTTTTTCTGAAGTATAATTTTAGCAATGAAAAATGATGCATAATAACAAGAATGAAAAGCTTTAGGGGTCATTGCAAATCCCTCCCCTTTTTTTCCTCCAATATGAATTTTGCAGGTACTATGTGTTTGCATATATATCTTGTACTTTTGATTTTGTGGAAAACTATAAAATGTTGCATGATTTTAGTCTTTTAGGAGTACATTGTATGGCCGTGGAAATGTGTTTGGCCTCCTTGGGCAATGGTGGCTCTTGCTTAGAAAAGCAATGTATGGAATATGAAACTTATATCCCCATTATAGGGAGTAATTCAATTTTGTTATGACATTATTTGTGCAAGTCTTAAGAATTTAAACTGCCCAAGGTGACATCCTGTTTCTCATGAGACATCGGAGAAATGGACCCACACCTTGCATCTCCTCTGAAGATGAGTCCTACCTTGCAGGTCTCCCACAGCTGCTCAGGTTGCAGGGGGAGAACGGGGGTATCTGCTCTCCAGTTCCCTGTTTGCACTCTGGTCTCTGTTTCTCTCTTTTCACAGACTCTGTTTCACAGGTTCTTTTCTTTGTTTGTTCCTTCTCCTAATCTGTGGCACAGACTGCAGTCTTTGCCAGTTAAAATAGTATGGAAAAGTCATAAAATACTGAGCCAATTATGGTAGGAAAGTAAAAAGTGATGCAAAGAGAAATCATGCCTTAGAAGTACTCCCTCAAAAGACATTAGTTTATTGGTGTGTTTGGATAATCTACAGGGGAAAACATAAAGGAATTAAATGTACAGGTTGTGTTATAAAGCTGTGAACTTTAATGACATAAACTCAAAGTGGAGATGTCACAGCAGATGGAGCTGTATGAGGAGAAGCTCCTGTACAAATACTTGTATTAGTACCACAAGCTGTCAGTATATTTTTGGATTAGTTTGCAGAACTTGCTTCCCCAGTTGAGAAGAAATAAAGCAGGCTAAGATTTTTTTCTTTTCAAAATATATAAATAAAAGGTTACAAAATCTAGCTTAATGGGATTGAAATAACTTTTATCACAATTTTAAGCAGCTATAACGCTTCCAGAGACTTCAGAAGATTTATGCCTCTCTACCTGTCTAATGTTTAGTACAAGACCTCTCTATGTGGGGCCAACTGTGTTCTGTAAGAAGAATCTGTTTCATCTGAAAGGCTTATAAAGCGGCACAAACCTATGTATAGAGTAATTTCAGTAGTCCTCCTAAGGTTGCTTTTATATGTCTAAAAATGCTTCATTTTGAATTGTTACCTTTCAGTTTTCTTTTGCCTTTGCAGGGGTGTCAAAAACAATGTCCTTTATTCATAAGTGAAAGTTTAACCTTCGGCATTACTGATCCCTAATGCAGCTGGTATGAGTAGCATACAGATTATAACCTGAGAAAATATTGTGTATGGGGAAGTGGAGGGTGGAGGAGGTGGCATTTGCATAAATGTAAAGTCAACTTTATATTAAAGTCATTGAATCTTGAAAGCCTGTGACTTGATAGCCAAATTGAAGAAGTGTATTTTGTTATTTTTTACAGGCTATTATATCACATGGGAAGTTAGAATAATCCAGTTTATCAAGCTCCTTTCTAACATGTGCTGCAGAATACAAAGCTGTCATGGGGTAAGTCAAATGGGAGATGGGTGATGGAATTATTACACTGATGAAATTGTACATGTTTGCAATAAGATAATACATATTATAGACTGCCTCAGATTTAAGAAACACTGAATATTTAATCTTTATCTTTGACAGAAAAGAATGAGCTGAAAAGAAGTAGCTTTTATACAAATAATTGAAACTTTTCTTTTTGCACATAGGAATCCAAATTAGCAATTTGCGTAAGTTAATCCATGTGCACACATCACAGAAGGACACAGAAAGCTAATATTTGAGTTGGGATGGGGATGGATTTGCTAGGTAAGAAATTAAACAGATGTGAAAGATAATTGAGAAATAAGATTGGTTTTATCAGATGTTTCAAAAGCCACTAGCTTGCAACTCAACAATTTCACTTTTGGAAAAAACAAAGGCATCTATAAAAATACATAAGATGATGTGAAAAATGAGAAGAGGAAAGCTGGCAATGAGGTGTAAAATAAGAGGTTGAGAAATATAGAGAACAGATTAGATATGTCAGTGCTGTGAGAAGAAATACGTAATCAAAGAGCAAAGGATGATGTAGAATGTAAGTATATGGGGTGGAGGGGGAAAAGAATTCTAGCTCTGCTTTCATCCAGTTTGAGATTTCTTGTTGCGTGGGAAAGGAAGGTGTTGATTATTCCGTATCTGAGGCTAAAAAAAAGGTGAACTAGAAATCACTAACAAACACGCATGCATCACAGAGCTTCAGGAGAGCCGTCTGAAGATCTGTGCAGGCGACTGACACTTGATCCGTTTTGCTTATTCCAGAACTCTGGAAGAATAGCACAGAACTGGAGGAAAGCTCATGCTATGCTGTTTGTGAGTGCCTCAACGTAGGGAGGAAAATGAGTCTTTGATCCCTGGTATGGCTTTTTGAATAGTCCGTACAGGGTTTGATAATAAAAGATTAAAAGAAGGCTATAATAAAAAATAACTGCGTTGCTGATCACCCAGAAAGGATTCATCTGAAAGGATCTGTGTTCTGTGTGTTCTCATTATATTACAAGTTTGGCTGATGAAGGCAATACAACTGATGTAATTATTTTTTGTTGAAGATTTGACCTGATTTGTTATTCTTCAGCATTTTGGCTATGAAATTAGAACAGCATAAAATTCATCTGGCACATGCTGAATGGATTTACAACTGGCTAGTTGCGAAATCTGTAAATAACATTTAAGGTAGTGATGACTATCAAAGAAGTATCTGGTCATTTTTCATGTATTGTAGTCTTCTACAGCGTTATCATTGTCAAAATAGTTAACAGAAAATAACTGTCAAAGCTGTCATGTCATAAAGGCCAACAGTCCAACACTGTGACATGTGAAGTCATGTGTCTAGGACCTGGGGCTCTTGGTGAACTGCAGTGATCAAAGGGGCTAATATGATCTGTAGTTGTTTAAAGAGAGGGCTTTCCAGGTGGGAGCTTCATGGCTAGTAGTTGGTAGTTGGTGCCTCAAGCACTATGTCAGTTTGGGGGTGATGCTTTCAGGAGTATCTGAATAGGGGAATGTTCATCTAACAGTGGCAGGGAAAAAAAAGGAAAATGGGTCTTACAGAGCAATTTCAGAAATTAATTTGGTTTAACAGACCTCTCCTGAATTTTCTCTGAACATGGTGGATTTTTGTTGTTCTCATCTCCTTGGCTAGTGACAACAATGTGCAAGTGAAACAATGTGTGGGCTGCAGTTCATCTTCCATGGTTGGTAAGTTTGGTCAAACTCTGGTCTGTATTATTTGGGAGATCAAACTGATCATTAAGAGTAGCACCCTCTACCTTTTATGTAAATGTAAAAATAGCAGTAAATCTTGTGACTCATTTTTGTCTGAGCAAAGTGAGATTCAGAGCTATGCCGAAGGCAAAAATCCCATAAACAGTAAACTGCTAAGTCCATTTGTTTTGTCAAAAAAAAAAAAGAGAAAGATGCCCTTTCTTCTGACTTTAAGTCAAGACGTAACACTTCTGTTTGCACTCTTGTTTCCATGGAAACAGCCAGTCTAATTTTAGGTAATATTCTCTACTTCTATATTACACTTACATAGGCTTATGCAAAGTCTAATTCTATGGATGTTTGTTGCACACTCATCAAGGAAATTAAAAATGCATTTGGATAAAATGCATCTACCACATATGCAGGAAGCAAGTGAAATTTTCCAAAGAGAATGAAAATGGTAACTGCAAGATCTGTGAAGAATCTCTGAGAAGCTATGTTCAATTAACTTAAATTTGCTATGACTGGATTTGGCTTAAATAGTATCAGAGGAGAGAAAAAAAAGTCTAGCAAGAAATGGATCTCATTTAACTGAGGTGTATAGCTGAGCTCTTTCATCTGGATATTTAAATTGCAAAATATTTAAATGTCACATACACTGAAGTAGTGGCTATAGAAATGAACTAAAAATGTAAGGATGGAGTAGCAAGTAGGAGAGAGAGAGATGTCTGCCCTTCGTTATGTCTCTGAGAGCTGGGAAATTTCTGCAGGTTTCCTTATCAAAATGAAGTTACCCAAATCATGTAATTTATTTATCACAGTCATGTTGCCTACACTAGCACAGTGGTGCCAGTGTGCTGTACACAGTAGGCTGAGGGTTGAAAGTGAGGGGAAATTTGTTATCTCAACTGTTGGGAGGGAATGCAGTTGTCTAATCCATAGTTAAAGTTGGGAGCAATATCCCTCCTTTTGCTGAAACTGAAATGGTGTTCTGCATTGTCAGGATGCCATCTGAAAGACAGTGTGCCCGAGAGGCTGGGGAGATGTGCAAGAGCTCCAAGAATCCCAGCGTTAGGAATGGCATCCTCCAGGTTTGAAATTAAATAATGGCCCTACAGACATTCCCTGGTACTTTACTACTGATGAAGATACTCAGGGCTTTGCAAAGTGCATGCAATGTGTCTGTAATCTCAAGTTCTTAATATGCTTTATTGAATCCACAAGGAAGAGATGCAGTCTGCACAAGATATATTCAAGGAGATTCAGTGCCATAAAGAGTAACTGAGCAAGTTAATAGAATCTGGTATTAGTAAGAGGCCTAAAGAAATTGTTGCGTACATATGTGCTTGTTTTTTGGTTCGTGGCTGGGCCCCAAACAGTGCTCAGCAGCCCTAAGAGTGCTCCCTTGCATTGACTTATCGGAAGCAGCAAACAAATGCTCAGCAACAGCACTGCACGTCTGTGTGCTATTATATTAACCAAGCTCCTTCAATTACTTCTCTAACAACATTAAACGACTGTACAGCGTGAAATCACAGACATTCTATTGTTAATTATCATGTGCTCAAACGAATAGTATTCCTTTGGAAATAGCTGTCTTTATCCTCCCTTGTTTTCTTATTTTTCATCATATTCATGAGCTAAGCTGAAATTTATTTTGTCTTGGAATTTTATTCTGTGGTATGGATATTTGTGAACAGCAAGCACATTATTATGTCATATGGGAAATACCATGCAGTTGAAAAATGATCTTCACAAGAAAAGTAATAACGCTTCACTTAGATTTGCAAATAAGAGCTCTTACAAGAGCAGCATTACGCTGCTAGGGAATTAACATAGATCCCCAAATGCATTTACCAAATTATTATTCTTTTCTTGAGTAAATGTGAGTGAAGAGGCTCATTTAGGTTTACATTCATTAAACTGAGTAGTTTAAAAATATTCTAGCTAGAGATTAATTTGTGGTTAACATATACAGTGGGAATATTTGCAACTTCCCATTTTTCAAAAGTAACTTGAATACTTTGGAGAGTTATTCCTATTTAATAGGTGTCTGGGATGTTTTAAGCTTTTTTTTTTTTTTTTTTTAAACCACTTATTTCTGGAAGATGGTAAAATACTTGACTGAAGCAACACCAGATCTTACTTGAATACTTTAACACCAAATGTATTTAGACTTGTGTAAAAGATAAAATCTAACAGTATAATCGCTGCCGTGTGCAGAGCCCTGGTCGTGCCCTAGGGCTGCCAACGTGGTCTCCAGCACTGTGACACTGCGCAGCAAAAGCAAAGGCTCTTTGGCACTGCAGGGATTTATGAAAAATCCACATCCCATTTGGCTGCCAGGTGTGCAGGTGTAAAGGCCGGGATGGCCATGCCGGTGTAACGGGAAGCGCAGAGAGAACCTGTAGGTTTTCTGGCTGCTGCTTAGTGATAGGGACCGAGGCAGTGAGTGAAATCTTCCTTGCTGAAAACTGTTGTAATGATCAGTAACTTCTTTTCAGACAAATATGCCCTGGAAGAGCAGAACTGTCAGTACATTAATTTCTAGTACTCGTTGGCTGATAGATTATCTTTGATCCCCTCTCCTGGCCCCTACCATTCCTTACAACTTTTCTAGATAAACTGGGCTCATTTTTACTAAAATTGATCTGTTTTGAACTCACTTTCTGGCTAAATGCAGCCTATGTCTTTTTAAAGGAATTCCTTATCTTGTCATTGCTTTTCGTTATTTTGAGAATAGACTAAAAAGGAATTCATTGAGGCTAATGAAGTAGCTGAATTACTGAGTAGTTGAAAGGGAAGCTTTGCGAAAGGAAAAGAAACGGATTGATTTGTATGGTGGAGACGTGCAACTGAATACGATAGCATCACAACACCCCAAGCCATTGATCTGGCTTAGCTGTAGTAAATGACCGTGTATGGTTTTTTTGGCTTTGATGTTGTATCCTAGAAATATATAGCATTTTAAATTTGTTTCCATGCATGGTTAAATCTTCATGGTTGTATGGAACAAGCATAAGCTAGTGATCAAGTATAAGCAAATGAGTAACTCGGGTGAAATCTGCCTTTCAAGAATGAATCGAACTCTGCAGGGAAGACAGATTTGGTGAAACCTGATGATGCTTTTCTTGTTAATGGATTTTGTTTGGATTTGAATATGGGATATGAATGGCACTGAACCAGCACTGATCTTTTTTCCTTATACAGGAAGTTGAAAATTGATCTTAAAAAAAAAAAAAAAAGCCTTCTGTTACTTAATCTGCTTGTTCTTATACCTAGAAAGAAATAAAATCAAAGCAAAATTAAAGGCATTAATGCCTACTTTAGAAAGAGAGTTCTTTTTGTTTAAAGAGAGGATGATTAAGCTCAAAATTAGGCACAATTTGAATATAAACATATTGTCTGCTTGTATTTTGTGTTTTCTAATAATTTGTAGGTATAGCTTTCACTGTGTTTTTCATCTTTTAAGAGGAACAGTGAAATAAATTTTACGAAAAGAAACATTGTGTACCAAGCTCAGAAAGCATGAAATGAAATAGCATTAGGAAGGACAAGTTTGCCAGACCCTGAATGACATTATCATTCTGTGAAGTGCCTGCTGCACAGTCACTCTTGGCTGATTTACAGACCAAAGAATATTTCTGTTGGCTGCAAAAGCTTACTGGTAAACTCTGGGAATCAGCAAAACTGCTTGCAGAATAGCTGCCTTACTGTGGTTGACCTACATCAGATGATAGATTTTATTTGCAAACTAGAAGAAAATAGTTCTCAGGCACCAACTTGTATTGAGAGCTTACTGGAGAGCTAAAGCCAGTCTGTGATGCATGAATAGCTTGCTGTTATTTGTTTGCAGTTCTGAATAGGAGGGTAGAAGTGAAAAACATGCCATACTTTTCCAAAGAACGGGATGGTGGGTTGTTACTTTACTCTTTTTTTGCATTATCTGTTCAGTCACCGTAGCACCGAGGGAGGTAGTGAGGGAGATTAAGATAATGTATGTTTGAGACCTATTTTAGGTAATTTATTTATAGCTGATTGTGGGCCAGGTAAGTAAATATATGCAAGATAGCTGGTGGTTTCTTTTCCTTTTTGTTGTTAGTTTTGGGGAGTTTTTGTTGTTGTTGGATGGCATCTTCCAAGCTCTCAGGTGTCTGTGTCTGCTAAAACAATAGATTTCAATATAGGTACTTTTCTTCCCTGCAGATACAAAATCACACACTTCCAATGTTGTTCTGCCCCAGCGCTGGGGCTCTTCCCAGCCTCCAGTGGAGACCGACATCTGCCGCAGCCTTTCAGCTCTCGTCCTCGCCTGTGGAGAAAACAGATGCCTTTTAATCCTATTTAACTATTCATTAGGGTCTGCTCACGTGTAGTTATGTAGATGAAAAGTAGGACAGAGCTGTTTATTTTCCATTTTGGGGAAATTTTTGTTATCAATTTGTGTTTCTCTGTGGAGTAATCTTATATGAAAGTTGATGACAAATTTATTCCGAACAGAAGAACTGCGTGCTTTGGCCAAAGCAAAATTATTAACAGTAATCTTAATACTGACAAGACTTTATTACCAAAGTAATATCATAGTATTTAACTGAATGTCCTCTCACTGGTCTGAATTCTTACTGCTCGTTCCCAGGGTTCTGGAATTTTTTCCGCTTGCAGAGTCCTTTGCCCCAGGTTGGGCTGCGTAGGTAGCAAGAGTTTGGGCAAGGCAGAAGCAGTCCCAGAGGAGCACTTGGTGAGTCTGATTTTCCCCTTTCTGTTCTTTCTGGGGCTGCAGAGGGGGCTCCCTGTTGTACCACTGAATGACTATTTCTTTATTCCTAAGTGCTCCATATGCAGCAGCAGGAAACAAGGTTTGCCCTTATGGCTCATGATTTGAGCCTTGGAAGAACTGAGTATTTTGCTATAAAAAAAAGCTATTCTGTATATACAATTTTTTCTTTTTTTCAAACGTTCATCCTTCATCTCAAAGATATCAGTTATAGCTCTTTGGGGAATGCCATGAATTTGTTCCCCAGTGGAGAAATCACCAGAGTGTGTTCATCTTAAATGAAGACTAGAGCTTTGCAGCTGATTGAACAGGGGGGAAAATTCATATTAATTAGCTACCATTTTCCCAAACTAATTTCACAGAAAATTATCTTAAACCTACACAATAATATGCATCTATTTAAATCTCTGTAGGGTTGTTAGGCTGGTGAATATTTTAGGAGTAAGGTCTTAAAAGGTGTTTAACATTAATGCAACACTTCTTGCTTTCACAATAAATCCAGCAATAAATCTGAAGTTTTGACTATGCCGAGTTAGTGGGAGCAGATCCATGGCACAGGATTTAAAGCAAAGGAGCTCTGAGCTTTGAAGCATTTTGGGTCCCCTTAATTCTGTTCCAGGTCAAGTCCATGACTGTCCTTGTGCTGCAGTGTTGCTGGGATGAAGGCTGGCACCTCTGCTGCCAAGAGGGGCCCTGCATGTTTGTTCTGAATTTGAATTGTGGTTAACTACTCATGTAGAACATGCTCACTTTATCAAGGGCCCTTCCGTGCTCCAGGCTCTCTCTGATAGTAGATTTTGGGGGCTGAAATCGCTTGTGGTTTTCTGCCCTCCTTGCTGGCTGCCAGGCTGAGAGAAAAGCAGCCACCGAAGGAGTCGCAAGTAAATGACCCTGCTGTCAAGCATATGTTGAAGACAAGCAAAGAAAACCCCTTACTGTACTTGTTTCATCAGCTAACCTTAACATTTTCATTTAGCAAGTGAGGCTTGTTTATTATCTACATGAGCAACATCAGTATCTCAGCACAGTTTTTCCACTTTCTAATGATTTCTGGGCTGAATAAGGGTATTGTTGCATAATGATATTTCTATTACCACAAAGTTTTATGAGAGTATGCTGTTCTGTGTCAAAGTGAGCAACTGGGTGAACTGAAATAAGACTTTAAAACTCAAGTTTAATTCTGAGAAATCAGTGAACTTTTTATTTAGATAGACTATTACTGCAACTGTTGGTCTTGCATTTTTCTCACATTTTAATTAAGTTCTAACTCTCAACTTTTATTCGTTGCATTGAAAGCATTAAAATGTCTATTAGAAATCATTGAAAATCATCAACAGGAAGATGAGATTAGTGCTGGATTGGAGAGGATTGGAATGTTTAGCTGGGGGATTGTTATACCTGGAGGCACTGCAGGATGGAATTATTTTGCCTTGGTACTCCCAAAGATTACAAATAGAAATCCTGGCATTTTTGGATACTTGCTGATTGCTATGACAGTAGTTGCTTGTGAGCAGGT